TTTAAACAATTAGGCGTCAATACTATAGCGTAGTATTGGCCCCTACAGTGGGTATATCTAATATATGCGCCATTGTTTATTCGGTAACATTTATACTGCAAAAAAAAACGTGTAGTAGTTGGGGTTACGGGTCAACCCAACGTCTAACAAATGTCTTAAATAAAACAAAACAAAATTAGACATATAAATTGGAAATACAAAATACAATCCTATCTATTTTTTTCCCCGAACATCTGGTTGTATGCTAGGAACTCATTCAGAAGATAATTGCCCTTGTGGTTATCGCATTGTAACCCAGTAGAGTGCGAGTTCCGTGGACAGCAAAAAAGTTGCGAACAGCATGATCAGGCACAAATAGACCCAGTCTTTCGAGAATGGAAGGATTATCTATATTATGGCGAATGAGAAAGCAGTAATGGGTAAGAAACCTAATCTTCCATCTTAGTTCAAGTAACTCAAGGCCGACCATCCCAGAAACAAATAGTGAGGTGAATGAAAATGGGAAATAGCCGTAATGCCTTTTGTAGAGATAAGAGAGCGAAGCAATTAAAAAGTTATCAACTAATTTCGTTCGTAGAACCTTTAAACTTCTCTCCAGAAAAGTTACCATTTTGCAGATGTGGGCTTATTACATCAATGGGGAGAAATTGTTTGTGGCCCGTTATTTGTTTGACTCAACAGTTGCAAGCAAATTCACACCTCAGCGATGGTCCGAATCCATTCTCGAATAGTAGGTTCACTCACGTTGAGGTATACGCCTGGTATATTTCTTCCGCAACCGTAGCCAAAAGTGGAAAGTCCCACAAGTCTGCCGTATGCCACCGCTGCGCCACCGCTGTCGCCCTGGTACATCAAGAAAAGGAAGCAATGTTTAAATGTTTTCAGTCCCTTGCTCAGCGGTGGAGTATGAAAACTTTTTTTATGATACCAAGTAACAGAACGAATAAGTCGTGCGACTGCATGTAGCATTTCTAGTGTCACTTAGAGCTTGAAATCGCAAAGATATATAAGGGACATTGCCATTGCGCCCGTCACCGTGAGACGTAAGTTGACATGTCCCATGTGCCTGTAATTTCATCAACTCCGTTACCCTTCGAAACCGGAACGCAGTAATGCTCACATTACTTCTTGGCGGCAAAAGTAAGTAAGGTAGCAGTACTTCCTTAGACGAACTCTTCCACAAGGAGCTCTAATGCAACTATAAGACGCTGCGTAAACGTGTGTTTTGTGTTGAATACAAGCAACCGGCAACTAGAAGCGAAAAGCTAGTGACTGTGTCGATTTCATGTTAGTTGTTTGAAAATATAATTTCGCTGCTAAAGGGTTTTCCATCAAGGGCAGGTAGATTTCATAATTCATAACGGCCATGTTGTTGAGTCTGCTTTTGTCAAATCTGTTGTTTATTTTTCAGTCACTAAATTCAAGCCATCATGGCAAGTAACAGCGTCGTGCAACACGTGCAAATGATTAAAAATTTTTATCAAAATGGGTGTTCTATTGTGGCAACGATGCGCGCGTAATAGACTGATTCGGGTTCTCCTGAACACTCACACTAACGGTGACGATGTTTCCGGCAGATCTTGCGTTTCGTCGACTCGAATTTGGCCGTCAAACGTAGAATAGTTACTGGAAAGGACGACCAGGTAAACCGTAAACCGTTGCCACAATAAACACCCGTTTTAATAATAAATTTTTATCATTTGCATATGTTGGTCGAAGCTGTAACTTTTTTATAATATTAAGTGACGGGACGAACAAGTCGTACGCCTGATGGTAACGCCTATCCATAACAGTTGCTGTGCCACTCAGAGCTTTAAATCGCAAAGATCTGAGGGAAACTGCCACTGCGCCCATCACCCTGAGAAATAAGTTAACAAGTTCCATGTGCGCCTTTACTCTTCAAAACCGGAACACAGTAATGCTGACATTACTGCTTGGCGGCAGAAATAGGTAAGGTGGCATTACTACCCTGGATAAACTCTTTCACAAGGAGCTCTACTGCTACTTAAAACTTCCCATGATGATTTGTTTTTAGTGACTGAAAAATAAACACAGATTTGCCAAAAGCCGCCTCAACAACATGGCCGCTATGAATTGTCAAAAATGTACCCGCCCTTTAGTTGCCGGTTACTTAAATGCTTGTGGTTCGCAGTGAGCTGATGATATCCGGGTCCCATTCTGGCGAGTAAAGGCTGTCTCACGCGTACACACTAGAACCACACCCCGGACACTCCATACAACAGCGGTCGAAAGTTATTTACCTATTACTACTACATACAGCTAGGCGCTACCTGCTCACGCGTAAATGTGTGCGTGAAATAGCAGGGTTACCCAGCACTTTCTCGTACGTGGTCAGAGCTACAACATAGCGACAATTCTAACGCGAATCTGTTATCCATAATTCTATTGACAGAATCCTAATAATTACACATGTCCATTAATTATTTATATCTATATAATATCATATTTTTCATTAATTCACTAACTACAATAATATTAAACATTTATTTAAAAAATGTGTTAAAAGCACTTACAGTGTTATATTTCGGACAGGTACTTTTAAATAAGGTAACCAGGGTATTTGAAATTGCGTGTCCAAGATTATCATTATTTAGTTAATAATTAGGTATATTCACTACGTAATATTTATCGGCAACACAAATTGAAAATTCGAGAACCCTTGCCTACTAGCTCACGAATTTATGGTGTCCTATTATATTGATATAGTAAATCTGTATTCTAAATTACTCTGCATTAAATAAATGAAGAAAACAATAACTGAATGAGTCTCAGACATAAGTTTTTTTTTAATTTATACTTCGTTTCATCTTTCCGAAAACGAAAGAAACTCCTTTCTTTATCCCGTTTAGATGATCATACGCAGCACAATTCACGATCATTATAAATAGTAACGTACTAACGTAGAACGTACTAATACGTGTTATATATTAACGTACAAGTTTCGTAATGAGTAAATGAAAACTATATTCAAATATCAAAGCCGTCTTAGCGCGAAAACTTCTCTCCGACAGCCCTATTGTCGTTCGGTCAATGTGACCGTCAATGTGCGGAGCGTGGTGCGGTATCTAAAGGTAGGAAAGGGCGGATTTTTTGTTCTCTGCTAGAACGTTGCAGTTAACTAATGAGTACCCGACTTTATATTAAGTCTCGTATGTTATCTGAAGGCTAACAAATTATATTGACGTATCCTTTACTTGACAAGCGTCATGAGATCCGCCGCCTGCGCAGAACATTCGATTCGTCAAAGTGTTGTTGTACCAACTCTGGTTCACCTTCTGGCAAATGTCCATTGGCACAGACTTCAGCTCCACTTGTTGGAGAATATCTTGGTATTCTCCCTGAAAACAAAAATTACAACAAAAATATTGTAGGAATTTAAAAAATACGACACAAACTGCCTACTTTATATTCTAATAATACTATTTTTTGCATTTTATTTAAATACGTGTTTGCAATCTTACTTTGAATTTCGTTTTTCACATTTGGTATTTTTATTAATTTTAAATTTTTAGGAAACGAAATCACGCATTTTTGCTTTCACAAACAAACCAACGTTACTAATTTTAATTGTTTGTTTTTGATGTCAATCATTATTGTTTAACCGACTTTAAAAATAGGAGGAGGTTCTCAATTTGACTGTATTTTTTTGTACGTATGTTACGTGCACACTCACGTACACTTTTTTTAAAATAATAACGTACACAAGTGTACGTATGTTACGCGATAACTCCGGCATTTGTAAACCGATTTTGATTTTGAAGGAAAGACGATGTGGTCCCGCTTAAATTTGAAGACAATATTCCACGTCTAAGGGTGGCAAACTAGGGGATGAATGACTTTTGAGGTTGGTTTTTTGTGTTTTTACTCTGTACTGAGATTGTTTTACTTTTAATATAAGTTTTAAATTTAGGAAGTGATAATTTTAATTACATGCTCCGGAATCTTATTATAAAAAGGTATACAGTTCACCATAAAATAATCGGTTACCTTTATTTAGAATTTAGAAAAAATGAATCCGGGGTTGCAACTGTGAGTTTCTCGGAATTTATGTGGGAAATTTAATTTGAAATGGCGGACGCAGTAACAACGACTCTCAGATCTTTGCAATTTAAAGCTGTTGATGCTAATCATTGACTTACAAATAAATGGACGACGGGTCTAATACAAAAACCACGAAAAAAATGTCCCAAGTCAACCTATTTAAACGTAGTGACATGTCAAGGAATATGAAAAAGCTAAAACGTTGAATTTAAATTGTAATGTCATCGCAGTACTGTCTAATTTTGCTTGCTTCGCTGTCAGTCGAACAAACGAAGACTAGAGCGTGAATGACGCTCTGTATACGATTTTAACGCCCTATAAGTTCGGAGACTTTTTAGCGCGGACCCGACGTCCATAAGTCAATGGTTACCTTAGTTAAACAAAATCGTGGTGTCGTGAGTATGGACTAAATTCTAAGTTTAATATTGTGGATATTGTTCTTTCTTAATGAAATTATGTATATTTTACGGACATACAAAATATCTGAGTAAATGAATGTTCTGTGATGCCACAATCATGATACCTATTTCATCTGAGAGAACGGCGTCTTTTCAAGTGAATAAACATTTTTAGACAAACACGTATCTTCGTAGGTCATCATCATTCATCGCTTAGGACTCGATACTACCTTCGCTCGATTTCAATTTTTTCCCGTAGTAATACGGTTCATGTTGCTTGGGGTCGAATGGCATGGACACTGCCTTTATTTCAGAATTAATTTTTTTACGAACAACATGAAAGCTATTTGAAAAATGTATATCATGTACGTGTTCTATTTAGTTCAGTTGGTATAAAACAAAATCATTGGTATATGCATTGACTTACAAATAAATGGACGACGGGTCTAATACAAAAACCACAAAAAAAATGTCCCAAGTCAACCTATTTAAACGTAGTGACATGTCAAGGAATATGAAAAAGCTAAACGTTGAATTTAAATTGTAATGTCATCGCAGTACTGTCTAATTTTGCTTGCTTCGCTGTCAGTCTAACAAACGAAGACTAGAGCGTGAATGACGCTCTATATACGATTTTAACGCCCTATAAGTTCGGACACTTTTTAGCGCGGACCCGACATCCATACAATTGTAAGTCAATGGGTATATGTAAAGTACCTATTGAATCCATTTGTTTTGTTATAAATTTTAGAGGTAAGTTTGTGTTTTTTTTTCTATCGTGAAAATTTTTAGGTATCGTGTTTTCACACCGTATACTAATCTATTTTCCAATGTGATTGATTCTCACTGTTACGCACAATCAACCAAAGCCATTTGAGATTGTATTGACTCTTAACCGAAAAAGAGGTAATGGTCAGGAGTGGATCAATTATTTTACAAAAAAAGGTTCCTTTGGAATCATTAAGTAGCAGTAGAGCTCCTTGTGAAAGAGTTTTTCCAGGGTAGTACTGCCACCTTACCTATTTCTGTCGCCAAGCAGTAATGTCAGCATTACTGTGTTCCGGTTTTGAAGGGTAAGGGTGCTGGTGAAATTACAGGCACATGGGCTTATCAACTTATGTTGTGTCGAGTCGTATGATCTTTGCAATTTAAAGCTCTGAGTGACACTGCAACTGTTATGGACTGGCGTGTAGTTTACCATCAGGCGCACGACGTGTTCGTCCCGTCACATGATTTTATAAAAAAAAGTCGGTGTAGTTAAAAACCTTACCTTTTCTTTAGGATACCCCCACCCGGACACGTAAATACTATTCCCACATTCTCCATCACTGATGCCAATGGGTTGAACCAGTTTATTGAATCTCAATCTTCTGTGGAACCTCAAAAGCTGAAGGTCGTAGTCGAACTCGTGCAGCTTGCCGAAGAGAGGATGGACGATGTGAACGAGGATCTTGACCTTTGGACCTCGAAGACGGTACTTACTGCCTATGCGGATGTATTTGGAGTCTGTGCTGTGGAAAAATAATAATCATAAT